CAGAGGTGTGCGAGGGCCAGCATTGAGGGCAGAGCAGAGCCAGTGTTTGCCCAGGGGTGGTGACTCGAAAACCACCGAGGGTCTGTCTTAGCAGTGTCCCCCAAAAAAGAATAAAACTAAGATTGTAGATCAGCATCGTTTAGTTCCCAAAACAGAAAGTGCACCCATGTATGGGTACAAAATTAAAATGATAAAGAAATGCCTTTGAAGAGGGTTTTTGGCCAAAGCCTGACGTGAGCGGATGTGGGGCCCTGCTGTGGCAGACAGCTGTGATTCCGTGCATTATTTCCGTAATAAAAACACAAGCGTGTTTCAGTCAAGTCCCCCATTCATTTGGTCCGGCCCAGCAGAAAGGGGAGGCTCGGCGAGGGGTTCCTTGGTGACTTAGCAGCCCTGTGTGTGGTCAGGCTGGTGAGGAGGCTGGGCTCCTGTCTGAGAGGGCAGACACCTGTACTTTGGCAAGTGGACTGGGTTCCTTTCTCGCTTGATCTCTGACCTAACGCTTCTTAGTCATGTCTAGCCCTTAGATGATTAACTCGTTCTGGTCCAGGTAAACTTGTGTGTGTGACCTGGCGAGGGCTCTTTCTACTTGGTGCCAGGCCGTCGCACGGCAGGCTTATTAAAGTCATTACTGTCCTCCCGGTTTTAAAAATCTCTCAACAGAGAAAGTGATTGCTGAGGCCTGCTCTTTATCTTTCAGAATATGAATCTGAATGAGAGTCTTTTTCTAAGAGAATTGAATCTGGTTAGAAAAGGTTTCACAAAATGCTCCCCAGTCTGTTACTGTCTTCTTACCGACTCTTAAAAGTTCTTTTTCCCTTTTTCTCTTCTCTTCTTTTTTTAAGAAATATACTGACTTCTATATGTTTTAGGATTTTTGGTCGGTGACCTCGATTTTGATCCCTTTAAATACTATTTTTGCTGTTTTACCTAGAATATTAGAAATTACCACTAATTTACTTGCCATTGATGGAAAATCAACCATCCTTAGCAGGTAGGAGATGGTTTGTACCATATTCATCATTCTCCTTGTACTGCCTGGGGGAGGGGCATGCTCCCTTCCAGGCATTTTCACCAGCGAGGGGGGGTGTCCCTCAGTGTCAGGCCCTGTCGTCGTGTTAGAGACCTTTGTGACTAGCAGGTTACATATTAGATCCACTTTATAACTTTTTCTGGCCTGCATGTAGCTGTTGAGTTTTGGCATATAATTCTTTGTTATAGATTTTAAAGCGTGCTAACCATTCAGGCATGTTGTACCTTTAAGGAATGACTGAAGTAGGGGTGGGGTGGCCCAGCCCAGCGGTGGGGGTGGGGGGTTTGCTCAGCTGCAGGCAGGGGCTTCATTCCTGTTTTCACGTTGCCACAGGGAGGGCACAATGTGTTGCTTGCAGCAGGCCAGCCCACACCCCTCCCCAGCCCACTCTCTACGGGACGGCCACTACTGAGGGATATAGTTGGGGCAAAGTGGGATTGATAGGACATTTTAGAGACTCGTTTTACCCCTGATCAGGGCCAGCCTTGAATCTGGACCAGTAGCTGCATGGCCTGATGCTGCCGCCATGGCCAGCACTTGGCTCTCACTGGCACCTTCTGGGGCTGTCGGACGACACAGAAGCACCCAGGTTAGAAGTTGAAGCACAAAGACCGTGTGTGAGCTGGAGATCTGTGTGTTCAATGACTCAGACCTAACCCTAGAATTCAGGGGCAGCTAGGATGGTTCTAGTCGATGTCATCTAGAAGGGTCGCTTTAATAAAAGTTATTCTGAACTGTAGTATTTTAGGTGATGAATGACTGATTTAAAAATTATTTTAATTCCACTTTTAATATTTCACTGTGATGTTAACTTGGAGGACCTGTCTGAGACTAGTCTTTTGATTTTAAGCTCATTAAATCTGCTGAGCACAGGATATTTATCATGTGTAAATCCAAAATACTGTGTGAAAGTACTTATAGTTATTTCTTCCTTTACAAAAGCGTAACTTAAACATGAAAATAATGTTGGTTTATAGAAATATTTATTGTTCAAGGTCTGTAATTGTATTTCAAAAATGATGTGGTATTCAACTTGTGAAGGGATTTGTTTTGTCAAAAAATTTTACAATCACTGTGTATACCACCGTCCGAGGCGTAGGGGCCCTTTCCCATCACAGCAGAGAGGACTGGGATCTGCATAAGTCACCCTAAATGGCTACATTGTTTCTAGAAGTTGGTTCAAATGTGTTCACTAGGTTACCTTATGTTCATTAATACCATCTTGAAAAATTCCTGTGATACGTGTTAAGGAGACAGCCTTCCCTGCCCATAAAGTAATGTATTTCTAAGGCAAATAGGCAATTGGATACTATCGCATACTGAGTGGGGAGTAGAGGAAGTATTTTCAGACTCAAGAAAACTTTGAAAAGTCAGGAACTAAGCTGCTTGGAGATCTGTGCTGCCAGCGTGGCTTTGGTGGAGTCGGGAAGCGCCGGGAAAGTTCTTGACAGTCTGTGTCCGTTCAGTTCCTCCATTGTTCTTTTTCCAAATGCATCCTACTGGATATGGAATAGACCGTAGATGGCGTAGACTGAGATTTGGGACTGTGTTGGGACCATTCAGGTGAATGTGTCGCCTTCACAAACAGCATCTCCGAGTAAGTACCGTCACCTGGTGCACGTGGAGCCTGCAGCTGGAGTAAGGTGTGCTGGTGCGGTGCCCTGCGTACTGTGTTCTTCTTGCGGGTGGTTTGCTGAGCACAGAGCCGTGGACCCCTCCGACTGTGTGCTAGTTGTCTGTCCGGTCGCTGGGAAGGGGTTGGGTGGGATGAAAGTCGCCATCTCCTGCAATCTGTGTCATGGACTGTAATATTGTAAGGTCTGTATTCTGTATGTGTATCTTAGACCCCAATCAGGAAACAAGCCTCATGTGTGTCTTTAACATTTATATTTCCATTCAAAATATGTATTCAGTGTTTATTTCCTCAAAACAGACTTTGTTAATTTAGGAAATATCTCCAAGTGGAAACGTGCTAACTTTTTCTGTAAATCTTAAATAAAAGGTGCTGTTCCTTTCTTTGACCCAGGACTGGTCTGTGTTTTCTGTCTTTCTCTCCATGCAGTTTTTCTTTTTTTTTTTTTTTCTTTTTTTCTTTTAAAGCTTTCAATTTGTTCCAGCCACAATGAGGGAAGAACATGGGTTGGTGGGTAGGGCACCGGGGCTCTCTCCCCTGGGCCCATGTTGATGGCTCTTTCTTTGGGCCTCGGTTCCTCCGTCAGACGGTTCAGCCTTGGGCTGCTCTTTGAGTGGGGCTGGGCCAGGAGGTGTGGCTACTCTTCCTGATGCCCCCGGGGGCCCCCCAGCGCCCAGTGGCCTCTTGCCTCAGAGAGCTCAGCACCCCGCGCCCCTCCCGTCTGTGACTCCGGATCCGATGGACATGTTAAAAATTGGGGTTTGAATGCAGAGTTTTTTTCGAGTTGCCTTCTTTCTGAATGTTAAATGTTAAAGAAGTAGGGGGTGAGCTGATAGGGAGGGGCTCCCTCTGGCCAGCTTGGGGGGGAACCTTGCTGTGCGAGGACCCCTGTAATGTAGTATACATTCACGCCACTATTTCCATCTTCCTGGAAAAGGTGAGGAAATGAAGCTTAAGAGGCTGCTTTCTCCGAAAACTGTGTTGTTAAGGGATGTGTCAGGAGTAGAGTAGTGAGGCAGGAACGGTGGGCCCACACACCTGTCAGCCCTGCTGCAGAGGCCGGTCAGAGCCAGCACGTCCCTCACACGTCTGCCCACTCACACCAGTTCTAAGTCCGTGTTTACTGGGTATTTTCCTTCTACTGCTCCCTGTCACGTCAGTGAGCTCACTCTGGAAAATGTTCATTGATAAGACTACAGAATTGGGTGGATTGGCTGATGGGGTTTGTTCTGTTCTGTTTTGTTTCAGTGTGGCCCGACTTTAATTTCTAGCTTTGTGTTCACTAGCAAACAGCAGGCCGATGACATGATTACTTGTTGTGATTATCAAGGTGTATAGGAAATGTAGTTTATACTTTTGTTGTGTTGAAAAATTCAGTTTTCAACATTCATTTACCTAACAGCAAATGAACACTACATGTGTTTTTAGTTTGTTTTTTTTAATTTGAATTTGGTATATGAGAAAATTTTCTTAACTAAAGATTTATGGATTTCTATGTAGAGATTTATTATTGCTGCTCAAACACGGGCAGTGTTGTGTGCCATGAGGAGGGAGAGGGTTAGCTCGGGCTGGGTGATTTCTGATGATGAAGAGGATGGATGAAATACAACTGGGGGGATGGTCCTTTGGTTTGCTCAAAGGTTCCACATTTTTCTCCCAGGCCTTTCTCTCAGACTCACCTGTTAACAGAGTCGGCAGGTTTTACCTTGCCTTTTCCCACTTTGAACCTTCTGGGGAGAATAGGCCACAGGAGGAGAACAGGACGGCCAGTTAGTTATGGGTGTGATACTTCTGGAGCACTGGTGTTGGGTCAGCACTCTGGGACACAGACACACTTCCAGAGCAGCCCACAGGCTCCAGAAGCAAGACCACGGTACAAAGGCTTACCCTTTGACGCTGCACTTTGATCCTTTAAAAAATTCATTAGGTATTAATCTGTTTCTCTTACTTTAAAATAGTTGGAACTTAAAGAGATTGGGTAAGGAAGGTCAAGATTCTCAGTCCCAGAGCGCATCTTAGGTCACCTACTGGAGCAAATTGGGTTTTCGCCGGAGTTCCTCTGTCAGGAACACAGAGAGATGTGAAATTTTGTGCCTTTTCTACAGAAATGTAACTAAATGTCGAGGAGGGTACAGTCCATTTCTGAATTTCTACACAGTTCAGTGGCCAGGTTGTGCCATCACAAGCAACAGCTGACACCGTATGTTTGCGACAAGTAGCTGGCAGTTGGGGACGGGTGCTGAGAAGGCCTGTGTGTGAGGTGACGCGGGTGGGCCGTGTGACGCCACCACTCTCCGCGACTAGTGAACTGTCGTCCGCCTCCTTCACCTCCAGGTGTCAGACGGCCCGGGAGACGAGCCCTTGGAATCCCCGGACGAGAGCGCAGATGAAACGCAGACCGAAGTGTCCGTCTCATCGAAGAAGTCTGAGCGAGGAGTAACCGCCAAAAAGGAGTACGTGTGTCAGGTGAGGGGAAGGCGGTCGTTTGATTTGTCCCTGGACCCGGTCCCGGGCCACATCTTCACTCTTCCCTTGAACCCCACCCAGCATCCCACTGATTTTTGTTTTGAAGGCGTGGGGTTGCCAGCAGAATCCTGGATAAAGTGCCCCGGGGAGGGTCCTGCCGCCACACACACGGTCTGTCTTTTGTGTTACTGAGTCACAGCCGTCCTGTGTGAGGGACACACGTTTGTACGTGCGTGCTTCCTGAAGCATCGGAAGCCGGGGGCCTCACCGCCAGCTCCGTGGCCCGTTGGGGCAGGTCACTTACCCACTCTGTGACCGGGCCTCCTCTGGGAGGTGGAGGCCGCGGGGAACCCCCTGGATGAGTTTGATTTATGATGATGGAAATGTGTGTGAGTTTTCTCGATTTTCACATCTGATTCTAAACCTCCCGAGTGTAACCTGTAGGTTTGGGTGCCGGGTGTGGCTTTATCGCTGTCCCCTTTCTGCCCTACAGCTGTGTGAGAAGACAGGCAGCCTCGTGCTCTGTGAAGGCCCCTGCTGCGGAGCTTTCCACCTTGCTTGCCTCGGGCTCTCCCAGCGGCCAGAAGGGAGGTTCACTTGCAGCGAATGCGCTTCAGGCAAGTTCTCCTGTAGCTTTTCAGCATGCGTCCCGCCGCAGGCAGGCCTGTGAGCGTCCCTGCCGGCCGTGGAGCCTTCCTCCGAGGCTCCTGCACGGAGTGCGTTGGTGCGCTTCCACACGTGCGTCCCGACGCGGTGTTCGTGGCGGAGACCCCTGCGGAGGACAGCTGCTTCCCTGCCGGGCTCTGTGGCCCCCCCACCCCCGCAGGCCGGCCCGAGCCCTGCTCCGTGAGGTGGCTGGAGTGGGGTGCCACGGTGCCGTAGGGCCCGCGCTGCTGGTGCTGGTGACCTAGTCAGTCACGGAACACGGGCTGCTTTAGAGACACGGCAGGAACCCGAGCTTCAGTTTCAACAGAAAGAACAGCTCCCACGCTCTTGCCTGAGCGGCCGTCGGGACTCGGCAGCACAGTCTGGGGGCTGCTGGGGAGACAGGCCATTCCGAGGCAGCCCCTCCTGTCCACGGCCGGACCTGAGGGTCTCCTGGCTCTCGTGGGGGCATGTCCTAGCTTGGGAAGACACCCGGAGTCTTCCAGAGAGTTCCTCTGACGCCAAGCCAAGGCCATCCGATGCAACAGTACCCTGCTTCTGGAGGCATATGCCTGCCTCTGATTATAAGTGATTCCTCACCGTGCTTGGTTAACTGCTCTCAAAAGGGACAGTAAAAGCCTTTCTTCAGAGGAGTGCCTCCTTTTACGCTTCTGGCTAGTTCGAGTGGGTGTTCCTACCTAGGCTGCCTCCTCCTCGGACTCTCTTGTCCTCCAGGGGACGCTGGAGCCTAGTTCATAGCGAGGTAACCCCTGATGGCTGGGCTTTTTTGAAGCATGCTCGGACTAGTCAGCAAGGTCAGAAACAGAGCCAGAGGCATCAGCAGCTTGGGCTGCCTCTGGCAGAGCTGCTGGAGCTTAGTGGCCCAGGAACAACAATTTAATTCTTGTTCTTTGCACCTTTTTCTGCCCCTTTCTTTAACCGTTTGTTAGGGATTCACTCATGTTTTGTGTGTAAGGAGAGCAAGACAGATGTGAAGCGCTGTGTCGTGTCGCAGTGTGGGAAGTTTTACCACGAAGCTTGCGTGAGGAAGTACCCTCTGACCGTGTTTGAGAGCCGAGGCTTCCGCTGTCCCCTCCACAGCTGCGTGAGCTGCCACGCTTCCAACCCGTCCAACCCGAGGCCATCGAAAGGTACAGGTACACCCCGGAGCTTCGCCGTGGCTTCAGTGTGCTCACGGGGACGCACGGAAGGGACGGGCCGGCGGCCGGCCCAGCTGTCCTTCTGTCACTGACTCGACACGCGCCAGGTTAGGGCTTTTCTTGGGAGAGGATCTGCCTCATGCTGCATTTTCCCTTCTTCCTGCCCTAAGTGTCTTTTTAAAGATTCTTAATTTTAGGAGGGGGAAACCTTTGAACCATTTTGATTCTATTTGTTCTGGCTTTAGTGCTCTTTCATATATAAGAAAATTATTTTTTTAAGATTTTATTTATTTATTTGAGAGAGACAGAAAGAGCATGAGCCAGGGTTCGGGGGAGAGACAGAGGGAGAAGCAGGCTTCCCGCTGAGCAGGGAGCCCGATGCGGGGCTCGATCCCAGGACCCTGGGACCATGACCTGAGCCGAAGGCCGACGCTTAACTGACCGAGCCACCCAGGCGCCCCTATCCTAGTTACTGTTTTCCATCAAATACTTCGTTTATTTCAGCATTAATTTTCTTAATGTGTGGGGGCTTGGTCATTTCAAGTTGCCCTGTTCACTGTTGGGTCTTCAGTGCATGTCTCTGCCTTCAGGTAAAATGATGCGGTGTGTCCGCTGCCCGGTCGCCTATCATGGAGGGGATGCTTGTCTGGCAGCCGGCTGCTCGGTGATCGCTTCCAACAGCATAATCTGCACGGGCCATTTCACTGCTCGCAAGGGGAAGAGGCACCACGCTCACGTCAACGTGAGCTGGTGTTTTGTGTGCTCCAAAGGTGAGGGCCGTGCCGCTGGGGGCTGCTCGACACTGTTACTCTGTTGGAGTCGTGTGAGTGGGTGGGGAGCGCTGCTTCTCATGGCTTCTCAGCACTCAGCTCCGGCAGGTAACCCCAGGGGCCGCGTGCGGAGGCGGGGCTTCCGCGCTCCTCCAGCTTTGGGTACTGACGTTCGTGATGTCCCCTGTCACGTGCAGTCATACACCGTGATGTTTCTGAATTAACTGTGACTGGTGCACAGACTGAGGGGAAGTTATTCATGGTGGTAGTAAAATGTGCTTTAAAAAAAAAAGATTTCAGGGAGAGAGCGTGCGCTTGCATGGGCTGGGGTGGGCCGGGGGGGAGAGAGAGAATCTCAGCAGGGAGCCCAGTGCGGGGCTTGACCCGAGGACCCTGGGACCATGACCTGAGCCGAAGTCCAGAGTCGGAGGCTTAACCGACTGAGCCCCCCAGGCGCCCCTGAAATGTGCTTTTGAGTCTGTCGCCAGGCGGCTGTTGTTAAGCTGATGTCTTAGCTCGAGGTGTGGAGCTGCCAGACCGCAGGAGGCGGCCTGAGCCAGCTCGCCCTCCCTTGCAGGGGGAAGCCTCCTGTGCTGCGAGTCCTGCCCGGCCGCCTTCCACCCTGACTGCCTGAACATCGACATGCCCGACGGCAGCTGGTTCTGCAACGACTGCCGGGCCGGCAAGAAGCTGCATTTCCAGGACATCATCTGGGTGAAGCTCGGGAACTACAGGTGCGAGAAGTAGAGCCCCGCGCTTGCCCGCCTCCTCGTTCACATGTGTTCTTTTCCCTTTGCAGGACTGAAAGCACTGAATGATTGTCACTCTGTCTGAAGAGTCTGTGAATCCTCTTTTTAATATTTATAATAGATGGTGGCCGGCAGAAGTTTGCCATCCCAAAAATGTCCCCCCAAATATTCAGAAACTGAAGCACGAGATTGGAGAATTCCCTGTGTTTTTCTTTGGGTCTAAAGATTATTACTGGACGCATCAGGCGCGAGTGTTCCCGTACATGGAGGGGGACCGGGGCAGCCGCTACCAGGGGGTCAGAGGGATCGGAAGAGTCTTCAAAAACGGTACGGAGATTTCCAGATGCAGTGAAACTACACTCTGGGGTACTTTTTGCTAATCCTGATTTCTGCTGTTGGAAAGTTTGGTTTCTGTAGAAAACACTGGGCTAAGTGTTCTAGCTGTACTTTAAATTAGAAAAAAGTAGGTTTGCAGACTGATTTGTTGAGGTACAGGATAAAATATGCTGTTCAGTAACTTTTATTAATAACATCGGTTTGTGATTAATTTCACTAAAATGCATTGGCGCTACTGTTAAGTTAGTTTCAGTAATGATTTACAGAAATTTCTTACAGCTTGCCTTTGCATAAGATGGAGGTGTGGAGGAAACTTGGCTGCCATCTAGACCAGGTGCCCCCAAAGTGTCAGGTGTGGGCAGGTAGACAGGTGCCCGCCCTCTGGTTCCACAGCCAAGGTGGGGGACAGAGAGGGACAAGAGCAGGGTGTCGTTCAGCTGACGGGTTGGGAATGCGACCACTTGACTGGAGTGAGTGGGACAGAAGGGAGACTCGGGGTGCATGCTCGGCGCGTCCAGGGAAAGCAGGCCTTTCCCGGCCGATCGCACGTAGGAGGCTCGGTGGGCCGCCTGTCTCCTCTCTTGCGGATCCTCTCACACCGTGGGCACGCAGAGACCTTCTGACAAAGGGGGAGGCATTGCAAGAGTCTCGGTAGTCACCATTGAACGGGGAAGATGTTGGAATTGGGAGGCAGCTCAACATGGCCAGTGTTAGAGGCAGCCGGCGATGGTGAAGTCAGGGTCTCACCATCCTGACTTACTGCTGGGGTCCTGCAGGTCAGGGTGGCCCCAGCGCACACGGTGTCCTCCAGGCAAACCTCAGTGGTCAGTCTCCTCCGCTCTCCCTGAGCCTGGCGCTCACTCCTCAGAGCGTGTGTGCTCGAGAGGAGCAGAATTCCGTTTTCATCTTCTGTCTTAGGACAGTCAGTTCCCAGGATTGATGCCTGTACGGTGCATCGGATCCCAGTGGAGGGTGGGGAGCTATAGCAGCATCCGCCCGGAGAAGCCGGCCCTGGGGCCTTCCTTGAGGCACAATATTGTACCGCCCAGGGCTCCTGAGCCGGACGTGCTGTGAGCACCCTTCGCTCGACGGCGTCTGCGGTTTGGCGGTAGCTGCCCCACGCGGCCTGCCGTAGCCCGCAGTTCCGGGCACGCTGGAGGCGGCGTCTGGCAGGGAGCTGGAGGCCCGCGGCCAGCCGTTGAGATGCAGAGCTGGAAGGGTAGAGGGATGAGTTCACTAAAACAAAACCTCTTCCTCACACTCCTATCTCATTGACTTTTTAGCACTGCAGGAAGCTGAAGCTCGTTTTCGTGAAATCAAACTTCAAAGGGAAGCCAGAGAATCGCAGGAGAATGAGCGCAAGCCCCCGCCATACAAGCACATCAAGGTGACGTGCAGATGGCTCGGGTGTCACTAAGGGGACTGTGGGTGGTCCTCAGGCGTCAGACTCTCAGACCTCTGGCTGCAGTGGCTAAGGGGGTCACCACGAGCAGGCGTCTGTAGCCCCGGCCCGGACAGCTGCCGGAGAAGTCGCAGGCAGAAGCAGATGCTGTCAGTGCTGAGCGTGTGTCCTTCCACGGGACGGTGATGGGGCGCAGGGCTGGGGGCGTGGGGTCTCTGCATGTGAGGTTTCAGTTTTGCCTTGGTGTGAGGCTCAAGCTGAGAGCCAGCGAGAGGCTGGAGTAACAGTCCTGGCCAGGCTGCCTGGAGCAGGAGGGGCTGAAGGCAGGCCAACCTCCTGGAGCACGCCGTCACCAGGTGCCAGGGACGTGCTCGGATGAGAGGTGGTCATCCCGGGCCACTGCTCAGCTGAGACGGGGTTCGGTCAGCTGGAGCCCTGGAGACAACATGACCTTCCCATCTCAGAGGGTGTGGACAGCAAGGAAGGACGGTGGGGGCGCTCCTGAATGTGGCCCCCGTGTTGACTGGCGGGGAGCCTGGGCTCTGGAAGAGATGAGGAGTGCTCCTCACAGCCGCAGCGCTTGGGGGGCCAGGGCCACCGTGTCTTGTTGCCCGGGGCGCGGGAGCCTCTCAGCGCGTTTGTGTGTCAGCTGGCTGCTCAGGGGCTGCAGACCCTGTGTGTAGGAAGGAAGCATTGTCTGCAGTGATCTGTGCTTAGTGTTTTCTCTGGCGAATTCATAGAAATGGAGCTCCTGGGTCAGAGAGCTCGGGACTTTTAGATACTTTTTTTTTTTTTTAAGATTTATTTCTTTATTTGAGAGAGAGCGAGAGCATGAGCGGAGGGGAGAGGGAGGAGAATCTCCCGCAGAGCCCGACGTGGGGCTTGGTCCCACGGTCCCCGAGACTGTGACCTGAGCCAAAATCAAGAGTCGGACGCTCAAGCGATCGAGCCGCCCAGGCGCCCCATGGGACTTTTAGGTTCTGAAGGCATGTCTTCAGCTTGCTCTTCGGTGTTGTGCTGTCTGTCACCCCACAGCAGGGCAAAGCATCTTCTACCACGTTTCCCCTTGAATTGTTGGTTTCTGCTTTAGTTTCTCTTCCCTGCTCTCTGTGGCTTTTTTGTTGGGTTGCTCTTGTTCCATCATTACAAACTGCAAGTTCAGGAGGGCAGAGACCGTGTGTCCTTGTGCTCACCGCCACTGCCCTGGCCCCCTGCCTGCCGGTCATCAGATCCAGGTGCTGGAAGGCCAGCTGCCCCGCACTGTGCTCAGCACCTGCTCGTGTTCCTCCCTTGGAGCAGCCAGGCTGCAGAAGTGTCTGCTCTCTCCTGTAGATGAGGAACATGGAATAGTTGGGGTGGGATAAGGGCTCCGCTCCAGCCCACCTTCTAGAGCTCCCAGGTCAAGGTTGGCCTGTGCTGGGAGCTGCACCTGTGGGAGGTGGGGTACGCCCCCTGCCATCCCTGCCGGCCTCTGAAGCTCAGACCTTCAGGAGGCTGGGCAGGTGGGGACAGGAGTAGGGGATGGGGCGTCAGAGGCTCGTTCTCTTGGCGCATCAGCTCATAAGATGCCAATTTTCTCCCCTGCAGGTGAATAAACCTTACGGGAAAGTCCAGATCTACACAGCTGATATCTCTGAAATCCCGAAGTGCAACTGTAAGCCCACAGATGAGAATCCCTGTGGCTTTGATTCGGAGTGTTTGAACAGGATGCTCATGTTCGAGTGCCACCCGCAGGTGTGTCCTGCAGGCGAGTACTGCCAGAATCAGTGTTTCACCAAGCGCCAGTACCCCGAGACCAAGATCATCAAGACGGACGGCAAAGGATGGGGCCTGGTCGCCAAGCGGGACATCAGGAAGGTGTGTGGCATGCCCCTTCCCTTGCTTTTAAGAAATCAGGGTTCCTTTGGTGGCTTCAGCTTGGATTCGCCTGCTGGGCCTTTGCACTCATGAAAGAATGGTCTTTTTAAAAAAGGTTTTGAGTTATTATAATGGAACATGGTGAAATGTTACATGAAAGCTGCCTATCCAAGTAAGACTCAAAAATCCCCTTAGAGCATGCCTCCTGTTGGCATTTCGGTGGTTGCTTTAGGATGTGAAAGACTGTGAAGGAGCCCTTCGCTGGGTAAGTGGACAGGACACTCCAGGGGGTCACGAATGGGTGGGAGGAAGCTGTGCTGTCTGGGGGCACTGCAGGGCCAACTCGTCCGTGCCAAGAGGCCCCATGCAGTCCGCCTGCCTCTGTCCTCAGACTGAGTGACCAGCGGCGTCCATTAGGTAGGGGACAACTGCAATTGGCTTGTTGTCCTCTGTCTAGCCAAGCCAGGGCACGGCCTGGGGGCCGCGGCCTCAGACCCGAGGTCTGGTCTTGGCCTGATCCTGGGCAAAAAAGGCTGCCTTGAAACATGCAAAACCCCTGTGGTCGTGTGTGTTCCCCTGCCTGCCCTGGCGGCCAGTTCTTCTGGCCTCCTGTTGGGTGACGGGGCAGAGCTGCAGCAGGAAGTCCGGCAGGAGCTCAGGGTCCCCCCGTGGTGTCCCCAGGGGCAGTTTGCTTCAGGGAGCGAGAGTTAGGGTGTTGCTGCTTTGGGAAGGATGCTTGGATGAATTCTCTCTTGACAGCCTGTGTAAAATACGTCTAGAGTCATGTGAGTTGACTCGGACTAACTGGGGCTCTGACAGACCCCACCCCCGATGGCGGGATGGCATGTGCCCGGTGCCCCGCTCTGGTTCTCCGGCTGTGGGCTCCTGCACTCTGGAATTGAGAGCTGGTTCGTCTGTTCTTTGTCATCATCACGCTCTTCTGGTTTCCAGGGAGAATTTGTGAACGAGTATGTTGGCGAGCTGATTGACGAGGAGGAGTGCATGGCGAGAATCAAATATGCACACGAGAACGACATCACCCACTTCTACATGCTCACCATAGACAAGGTAGTGCTAACTGAGCTTCACGGCTCACGTCTGCAGCGTGCCGCCGCCCGTAACAGCGGACCTTGTCTTGTGGTGACGATACCGTGTTGTCCACGTGTCGCTCTTTTCAGATGCGTGTACATTTTCTCCTGAAGTGTACGGTGTCTTCCGACGGCTGCCTGAGGGCCGGAGCGGGCTGTCTGTGTGTGTGAGTGTGTCCTGGGAGCCTCACGTGTTCCATCGGTGCATGAAGAGTGTACTGGACAGTCGGGCTAAGGGTCAGTGAAAAGAGGAGAAAAGCACAGATTAGGAGAGTTACACATGTGTTCAGTTACACGGCGGGGCTTCCTGTTTGTTCATCGCTTGTCTGAAGCCCAGATGTGCAAAAGCAGTCTGGAACGTAGGTGTGCTAGAGGGAGGATGGGTGAGAATGCTTGTTTACGAGTCGGGGTGAGTGAGAGAAAGCGCAGGCGGGCCCTTCGCGGGTTGGTGGCAGGTGCCCGACGGGGACAGGCCCTTTCCAGGGTAGCATCGCGGTGGGCTGGTCTGGCCCCAGGGGCAGCCTGCTTGCTGCCTGAATGTTGCTTGAGGGGAAGGCAGACACGATGCATGTTTCTGCTACTTCTTGCCCTTAATCTCATAATCTAGCAGGAAGATGTGGCTATTTTTAGGAATGCTTGAAAACAAGATAGAAAATGATCACACCACGTGATTTGAATAACTCAGGGAAATGACAGAAAGATGATGGGATGAGGTCTGGAAAGCAGCCTGTTGTGGAGAATAGGATGGTCCCAGAGACCTCGCAGGGTTGTCCCCGGGGAGGCTGCAGCCCCAGGAGCGCTGGGCTCTTGGGCATTGGCTGCAGCTTGACCAGTCATGGGGCCTAGACCCTGCAACGAGAATCGTGCTTCCTGCCGAGACCCTAAATCTTGGGGCTGGGGTGCTGGGTAGGACGTCGTGGAGACAGTGAGGGAAGCCCTGCGGTGGACACGCTGCTGCTCCCGATGTTACGTTTCTCAGGTGCTGATAGTGATGCCTGGACAGGGTTGCTCCTTGTGAGGAGAAAGTGGTGATGTGTTTCAGGCTCAAGCGGCTGAGTTTGGTAACTCGCAGAGGGAAGGAGGAGTGAGTGCGCGTGAGTGCACACGCACATCTGTGTAATAGATGACACAGCGAACGTGGAAAACGTCAGTAGTCGGTGTATCTAAGTGAAGGCTGTGCTGGTGGTCCTGCTGGTAGTAGTCCATTGTTTTCCTGTAAATTTGAAATTTCTTAAGAAGAATTGGTTAGGGCGCCTGGGTGGCTCAGTCGGTTGAGCCTCCAACTTTTGATTTCAGCTCAGGTCATGAGAGTCTGCTTAAGATTCTCTCCTTCCCGGGGCGCCGGGGTGGCTCAGTCGTTGAGCGTCTGCCTTCGGCTCAGGTCATGATCCCGGGGACCTCGGATCGAGCCCCGCATCGGGCTCCCTGCTCGGCGGGAGGCCTGCTTCTCCCTCTCCCACTCCCCCTGCTTGTGTTCCCTCCCTCGCTGTGTCTCTCTCTGTCAAATAAATAAATAAAATGTTCAAAAAGAAAAAGAGTTAGTTAGAAAGGTGAGCATCCTGGACTAGAGAGGAGGCTGCTTTTCCTCCCTTGGGCCTGTCAGGAGCACAGCACCTCTGTCCACGCAGGCTTCTATAAGAGGCAGGCCTGCAGATCGCATAGGCTGGCAAACAGGAATTCTGTAGGACAGAATGAACAGAAAACTAAGAATAACCAGCCGTTGATGGAGGCCCGTCTGTCCTGCCCCCTTAAAACTCTCACAATACCTGTGCAGGATGGCAGGTTAGGGGCAGAGAGTTCTGCCGTGCTGGAGCCGATCCGTGGAGGCAAGGGTCTGCACACACAGCTTCCCGGGGGCCATGGGGCATGGAACAGGTGGTGCTCGAGTTTGAACCCTTGTGTGGGGACCACCGCCAGAGCCTGCTCAGAGGCCTGCTGTGCGGCTGGGCCCGAGGGGCCTGCGTGGACCCCATGGAGGGCTATAGTCCCAGGGGAGGGGCCGGTAAACTTGGCCCGGGGGTGGCCAATGTGTGCTTCCCTCTGCCATCCCCTGCCCTTGGGGAGTGGCAAGGGAGGTCATTTTATTAGAAATTCAACCCCTAGGCCTGTGTCTTCCCATGTTTTGTAGCCTAAATTTAAACTACTTGTGTGTTGGAAGAAATGACAAGTTGACCATTTAACACACAAATTGGTCTCTGAAATGATAATTCACCGAGGGCACCTGACTGAAGCAAAGTTAAAACCCATGACACACGAGGGACAGGTAAACAATTCATACCTCATATCCTTGCTATAAAAACAACATGGACGGGGCACCTGGGTGGCTCAGTCATTAAGCGTCTGCCTTCGGCTCAGGTCATGATCCCAGGGTCCTGGGATCGAGCCCCACATCGGGCTCCTTGCTCAGCGGGAAGCCTGCTTCTCCCTCTCCC